TGATAAGAGAGCCTATGATTTAGCAAGTGGGCAGATTTATGATGAAATGCTACAGTATCTTTCAGGTATTTCTCGTGCAAGCTTACGCAAAAGAACTCAAAGAACTAAACCTATATATAAATTATTTAGCGCAATTGGAGAAGATAAAATTAGTCGAATTAAATCTTATAGTGCAAATAAACTCTCAAAGCTAACTGATAAACAAATTGATGTAATTATAAACCATTATACTACCAAAATACTAGTGCGTGACCAAAAGTCTCGCACTCACGTGACAGAATCCACTCTAAAATCCGGATTTAATCCGAGTGATAACAAAAATCACACGACCAAACCATCTAGCTTGAAAGACGTATCAAATATTAAGGCAAGTATATCTGCTGAATCATCCCATGCCCCTAGTTCGGAAGATATGATAAGTGAGGATAACAAATCTTCATCGAATACTAATAATATTCTACAGGATAATATTTTACTGGAAACGAATCCAAAGGATTCAACTGAGGTGAGTGTATTGCCTGAAAAGGTTTCGTCAGAAACAGAGGTATGCATATTACCTATAAACAAAAATGCATCTTTCAATTCTCGTCTTCCAATTTCTATCTTACCCGATGATCCAGAAGAAAGACGAAATCTTGTTATTTATACCACATTGAAGCAATTCAATAATTTATCAATTAAATATAGCAATGAATATAGCGATTATTATGTTAATTCAGGAATATGTCCAGCATGTAATGAAGAGCATAAAGGAGATGGTGTAGAAGGTTGGTGGGGTGATGGAAATTATTGTGGCGAAAAAACGTATCGTCTCTATTGTTGTAAGAAATCCCTTAGTGGAATCCCCATAGTAAATGTGAAAGCGTAAGACAAAAAGAAATTAACTAGATATTAATAATACACGATCGCGTAAAAATGACGAGCCCTTCTTTATTTAATAAAAATTGTTGCCGGAACAACAATACCAATAAAAAATATATCGCTGTTACAGGTGCGAATAAAATAAAAAAAAATTCTATTATCTAACGGGAGGGTAACAATTCTACGATGATATGAACAACATCTTGATTAGGATTCGTAGAAAAATGGTCATAGATATTACTATCCGGATTCATAATTGCGAAGTAGTCCCCAACAGTAGGAAAATATATACGAAGCCGAAAATTAGCATTAGTTAATCCATCTGGTAGGCCAGCCCGAACTTGAGGTATTAAACTTTTTCTAACTTTATCTCCATTAAAAACATTAAATGTACGAGTATAATGTTGATAACCACTAATCGAAAAGTAACAGTTAAGATCAATATTAATGCGGTCGTTATCACCCATTTTGCGTTCCTAAACGTAAAAATACATAATGATAATGAGTAAGTAGTAAGGCCTATAATTTCCCCACACCTAAATAATAAAACCTGCAGAAGCGTAATAAACATTACCTCGAAAATAAAATTTGAATATATAAGCCTTTTTCGATAAAAAAAAAGGTAGGAGCAAATATAATGCTAACTCATCTTAAAGATTAGAACTGCTTATTTATATACCTTTCATTATCTAAACCTAACCACAAAATAGCTGAGAAGAAAGAACCTGCCAGAAAGAAAAATACACGATTAGTAATTATGTTACCCAAATCTAACGCCAGTTTTTCTCCATAAAGCA